GGGTAGTCTGCTTTAAGGGTTCAGGGAATGGGTTCCCCGGAGGATCATGGGCAGGGAGAAGGGCGATCAGGGCTGGTGGACCACCACCAGTGGGCAGGGAAGTCTCCAATCAGGGTCAGCTCCCAGGAATTAGCCCCTCCTCCCACCAGAGTAGGTGTGACCAGGGGACTGGGCTCCAGGGGAGAGGAGGGCTGGCAGCAACTCCAATCCTCCCCACCCCCCTCCTCCCCCCACTCTTGGGGGCCAGCTTCATGGTACCTGCCCACCTTGTAGGAATATCTCAAATCACTGGCACAGTGGCTTCCTGCATCATCTCTTCTTCAGGTGGCAATGGTTACCTGCAGGCCTGTCACAGCCCCTCATCCCCACCAGACAGGGATGGGTATCAAAACTCTAGTTCAGGGGCTGTGGGTCCCAAGGAGGCCAAGGCAGGACTGGCCTCTGGCAGGACACAGGAAGTGGGTGAGGTTGGGAGTGGAGGCAGCACAGAGGCGGGGTTCAGGCCTTCCTTTTCCACAGTGCACGGGAGACGTTCCTTCGGAGTTATGCTGTGGGTGGAGTCCGGCCTATGGCTCTGAGGCCAGGAAGTGGCCCGATGGCTTAATCCTGGTCTCCTCTTCCCCCCCACCCCGCCCCCCATCATCATCTGCTGTAGACGGGATTCAAACTCCCACCCAGTGTGCTGCTGTGGGAGTAGAAACAGTTTCCGGACAGGGCAGTATCCTGCCATGAGAGTCCTGACCCGCACGGAACTACCATGCTCCTGGGGCGTCACCGTGAGACACGCCAGATGGGAGACCCATCAGGGTGTCAGTTAAGTCCCCCCCCCCACCAGTGCATTGTGAGAGCAGTGCCACCAAAGGCCAACTCCATTCCCACGCATGGGAGACCCTCCTTCCCACGGTGTCCCTCTGTGCTCACTGCCCTTCGGGGCAGGTGGAAACCGCACACCGAAGCAGACAGCGGAGCCCCTGCCCACCCCATCCCCCTGCCCGGTGTTAGGTGAGCAAGAAAGGTCTATTGTGTTCGAGCCACGGTATATTTTTGGGTCTATTTATTACAGAACTAGCATTACCCTAATACAATCATCGCTAAATGGCCATAATACATTTATTCTATAATTGCACAGAATTTTATTCACCGAAGGAATGTCCTTTCCTCTCAAGACTCTAAGTGTTCAGAACTGAAACGTTTAGAAGTTAAAGTGGCTGCAAAGGATAAAACCAGTGCGAGGTAGTTGCTAAAGTTGGCGGTAGTGTGGTAGTCAAGAGCTGGCGCTCGGAGGTCGGGTCCCCGGGTCCCCCGCCCGCTGTCCCACCTGCGCGCAGTGCGCTCCGGCTCCCCGTCTGCTCCGTGGGACGCTGGCGGGGCCCGCACCTTGGCTGAGCTCGGCAGACTGTGGCCCACGGGCCAGACCAGCCCAGAGCCCGTTTTCTTTACAGCCCTCGAGCTGAGAAGGTCTTCTACGTTTTCGAAAACAAAGAACACGTGACCTTACATGGCCCGCAACAATAATTGACCGCCCGGCCCTGCCTTAGAGGGTTGCCGTGAAGAATATAGGTGAGGCCAGTGCTGGCTCAAAGTAAGCTTGCGATACAAAATAACACATGCACCACAACCATCGACGTCTCCAGAAATAAACGGTCACAGGGCCAGATTCTGCATTTCGTCTGGGTGAACATTCACTCCTTTCCTCCAGAAAACAGACAGAAACACATAAAGAGCTACATCTGGATTATTATGGCCACAGGTTACTTGTCAAATTAAAAAGCTGCTGGTAATCCAGTTTTATGTACTTGGAATATGGAGAAAGGAAAACAAGTTATTTTCCCTTCTAGCGGTAGAAGAGAGCCTAGAACGTGAGCGTTTGACTCCATTTCATGTGTTAAGAAAGAGACATTTTAAAATGAGAACAAGTCCTTAAGTAGGTATTGTAAAATGCAAAACCGATTTAGCAACAGTACGAATGCTGGTTTCGGCGAAAAACAACTCTGCGGTGGAAATTCACTTATGATGGAGAAGCTACCATGAGATCCAGGTGGAGGCAACGTGAAGCCAGCCTTTCAAAATCGGATTAGACCAAAGTTTTCAAACGAGAGAGAGAGAGAGAGAGAGAGAGAGAGAGAGAGAGAGAGAGAGAGAGAGACACGCCTGGCCAAACTAGCCTGAGGATACGGTGGACTAGTTTTGGACACACACAGTGTTTCCCAAAGCACGTCTGCAAACCCTGGACCTTGGGGATGCTGTGTGTGTGTGTCTGTCCGTGTGGCAGAGGAAAGTTCTAGGGTCTAAGCAGGGAAGACACAGCACAGTACACTGTCCTCTCATGAAGTCACAACGCACAACAGGACGTTAAAGGTCTGGGACCACCGCGGTGCAGGAAACCGGTGACCGTGTGGCCCGACCGCTGCACTCCGCACGGCACGGCACGCGGGGGCATCACGGACAGTGCGTGCTCTGCAGGGCGTTGTGGACACGTGGAACGTCATGCAGCTGTCACCTCGTTAACAACGCACCGGGCACCTGCCCTTCTCCTTTTGAACAAGTACTCTAACAGCAGCAAAAAGCTGCAATGTTCGCATTGTAACCAGGTGCCCTCAATACTCCTAGCCAGCTTCTAAAATTGCTGTTTGGCAAGGAACCCGCAGAACAAAGTACCCTGTTCACTCACCAACGTTAAGAAAAATTCAGTAGAGCCAAGTTTTGCATGTTTGGATCAGAAGAGAAGCCAGAGACGTTCTGTTGCCGTCAAGGCTGGGCTTTCTGTTCCGAAACGAGACCGGGCAGGCCGCTTGTGTGGATTCTCTGGGTAAGTTCCATTTATTAATCATTGTACAAAAAAATCTTGGCATTCATTTGAAGAGAAAAGAAGTCACTCTATCCAAATAGTTAGTATTTTAACATTGTGAAAGTCCTACTTTGTTATAACAGGACTTCTTAAAATGGAGAAAACTTTTGGAAAAAATTTTAAAAAGAAACTTATGATTTATTAGAGTACAGGAGATCCAAAACACGTTTTTAGAAAAATATAAAGTGCCCAAATACCAACTTACACAGGTGACACAGGCTTCCTGGAGCCAAATGAAGCATTCATGAAGAAACACATTTAAAAACGGTCTAGATACATATTTACATTGGGTCAGTAAAGGTAAAACCATCCTTCTTGGCTTTGATGTTACTCTAAGGAAAAAGGAAATCAAACCAGAAAACCAACAATTATAACTCAGCATGCTCCACAGTTTCTTAGTAATGCATCTGGTTAGTATTACCTCTGGATTAACTAGTTCCCACCTTCAAACGAGAGTAGTGTAAGACCCCCGGCCTCGGCGGGCTGGGTGCTGTGAGTGGTCACATTTCCCAGGCCGATCGAAACCATCAGGCTCTGGATCTGACTGGCGACAGCGAGCTGGGGCTGGCAGGGGCCGCCAGACCCTCGCCTCTTTCTAGTAACTGCTCACCAGCCGTCAGTGACTAAGTGGTCTCGGGTGGCCTCCCCAAACCTCGGTCATCCCAGAGCTTCCAAAGGGGGAAATGAGGCAGTCATCAAACAGGGTGTGGGGAACCACATGCAAATGCACAGAAGGGTGGCGAGGCGGGGTCGGATCACAGCCCCCGAAGCCTCGCTCACCAGAGCGACTGGATTCTTTGCAACTCAGAGAGTAACTAGGTCCTAACTCCCGAAGGTAGCTTCTACTGGTTAACTACGAATTAGCTAGCTCGCGTGAGAACTGGCAGGTCGAGAGTGGCGGGCGCTCGGGGCTGTGAGGGCCTCGGTGCCCCTGAGCTCAGGGACCAAGGGTGGGGGGCGGGAGCCAGTGGGACCTTCAGGGCAGTGGGGACTCGAGAAAGCAGGGCGCTCCCGCCTCCTTCCCCACAGATCGACACTCCTCAGGTTAAAGACGTTTTACCTGAGTCCACCCTGCCACAGCCGGCAGGGTTGAAGAGTGATTCTAAGGGATGACGGGGGACACGGACCCTCCTCTTTCCTCTTTAAAAAATGCATAAGGTTCATTATTTCTTTTTTTCTGATTACAAAAGTGAAACCTCCTTTAGGTCTTTGGAGACCACGGAGTGTGGTTTCTAAAAATGAACATTCTAACACCAGATTGTACTTCCTACTATAAAGAGAACCCATCACTGACTTAAGATCTATTTATGATACTGGAATAATTTTTAAAATTAAAGGAGAGAAAAAAGTAGTTATTTCAAAGGGAAGGAGAGTAGACGAATGTGGGAAAATCCATCCATAAAGGCCATTACGGTGCACTTTCTCACAAGATTTCACGTAAGGAAACAGAAAACTGGGGATTCGCAGACAGGAGCACGGACCTGGGAGGAACGTGGTGGGCAACGCTCTGCCGTGCTCCCGCTTCAAATAAAGGAAGAGATAAAGCGGCTGAAATCTGTTTCACGTATTGGAACAAATAAAGCCGAACGGTTCTGATGACCAATCCGCGTGTTCACGTCCCCGCCGCTCGGATGCTGCTGCCGTCGCTCGCAGCCTCGCCTCTGAAGAAGCAACTACACGCAGGGCGAAAAGACGAGCGGTCCCGACTCCGGGCCGCGCGCACTCCACGGGGAAACCAGAAGGGAACCGGTGCAAACATGGAACCCCATCCGTCCGGCAAATGAAACGGTCGGAGACGAGTGTAGACAGACGTAACGGGAAGTGGGCGGGAAGGATGATTCTACGAGTGTCGACTGTGAGGCCTCATGAAGACAGAGTGTCACAAACTGTCACCACAGGACAAGCACACAAGCCATGCCACTGAACACAGTGCCGTCAAATGAATTCACTAGTGTAGGCGGAGAGCGACATTGTCTTTGCAGCTGGAGGAGAGCACACGTTGTTTAAACTTGGTGGGAGGCAACCAGTGCTACTGGTTAGGTGCTTTCCTGGTGGTGTGAATCCAGAGGGATCCGTGGAGACGTCTTCTTCCGGAATCCTGTTCTCCTGGAGACAGCGGCAGCGGCAAAGGCTCGGTGTCCTCTACTGGACGCTACTCTATGTCCTCCTTCTTCGCACTGTAAATATTCTGCACCGTTTCATACACAGACTCCAGGTCCTCCGGGTACCGGATTTCTAGCTCCGCGTTCGGGATGTAGTGAGTGCCGGTAAACTCTGAGAAATAGCGTCCCACGTCAGGGTGTGAGATTTCTTGAGGCTCCACGTTATATTCCAGGTTTTCTGTTGGCAAAGAGGCACATGGACATTCCTATTAACACGGACACTTCTGTAGCATCTTTTATCCAGAGAGCGTCCTATCTCTCACCCCCTTTCGCGCAGCAGGATTGAGGTGGAGAAGGAGAGGCCTGTTTATGGGATCTGAAGCAGGTAACAGGACCAAGGCAGCGGGGGCGGTGGGGACAGTGGGGGGCTGGAGGAATGGGTCCCTCCGGCTCCGCACTAAACAGAGTGTTTCCTATTCTCTGAGCAAGAAGTCTGCCCCGGCAAACGTCCAGCCTTTCGGGACCGGCAAACTACAGATGCGTCACGGTCCTCTGACTTGATCGTGCAAACAGCCAAGCGTAAGGGACCAGGGCACCCCAGCCTGCCCGATGTCTGCCACAGGTTCACCCTGTGAAGCCCCCACACCACGTGGCTACAAGTCCGGCACCTGCCACCCGTCTCCTCTACTGACTGGAGCTTCCACACAGACCTCACTTTGCGTCGCCCCCCGCCCGGTGCCTTCCGATCCCGGCTGGTG